GGCCGTCAGCGCCGGGTAGGCAGAGCTGTGGGGTTAATGATTATTGCATGAACAGACGTGTTTGTGATGCAGTGGAGGTTAGGGCGATAAAGCCAATAAAATCCTGTCAGGTTTCAGGTGGATGACCCTGCCCAGGTCTGATGCTGACTCTGGAGCATTGTGCTGCAGATGAAGGGCGGCGCCGTCTGAGGCGGTGGCAGCGGTTTGCCGCAGAGCCTCGAGCATTACTGTGACAGTCCTTCTATCAGACTTTTATGATTCCATCTCTCTAATTGTGTTTAATCGCCTTTACTGCTCACATAAATATTATCCATCTGTAATAACTGTTAACGCCATTATTCCCGCCTGCGACAGCTCTAAATCTCACAAACAGCTGCTCTCGACCTTTTCTCACCTTCTGTCCCGCACGCCGCCCCCCTCCAAACCACCCCCTAGCTCCATGTGCGCTCAACTGGCTGCTAATGAGGGGCTGACATGTTTATCCTGGAGGTCAAACGGCCCAATGATGGAGGTCACGACCCCGACGTGCTGACCTCTGACCTGCCAGCACGTGTCGATCCTTCCTGTGTTTGTAACACCCGCTGCTGCCACCGCTGCCAGCGAGCTCACATATCAGAGAGGTGGGGGAGGGGTCTATGTGACCTCTGACCTCCCAAAAGTTGCATAAGTTTGCGTGTGTCTGTTCTGTGTGTACACAGCGAGCCGAAGACCGTTAATTTGAAATGCTCCACTTGTTGAGGAGCTTCCTGGGCTCAGCTTTAATGGTTCGGTTATAGTTCAGACTTTTTAAAAGGTCTCTGCTGTAACTGCCCAGGGATGCTTCGGCATGTAGCCAGGAATCAAACCGCCAACCTTTCCGTGAGCAGACGACCTGCTGTAGCTCCACCGTCTCATTTTCTCGATGTGTTCCAGGCTTGAACATCTGGGACGTTTAATAACAATCCAGATCCTGCAGTGCGGCTTTAGCAGTCTGCTGATATTGAGTCCAGTGGGTCGTCTGTACCATGAGGACCAGACTGCTAATAAAATCAATACATCCAAATAATCACTCAATTAGAATTTATTAGTAAAATAAACTGATCAGAATGATGTCTTTCACTGACTGTCCCTGCTGTGATGGGAGCTCAGTGTGAGTCTTTCCTCCTTTCCCTGCTCCGAGTGCGCCTCCTCGCACACCGAGTGGAGCAGAAAGAATCCATCGTGTTACCGTAGTGATGCACACGAGCGTCCCAGACCGTGCTGCACCGAGCGCAGGTGTCAGCGACATTTTACAGTCGAGTAGACGACAGTTACACCACAAACAGGCGTGAAACCTGTCCACACTGCTGACTACTTCCTGTTAGCTGTGCTTGCTCTAATTAGGGTGGCGTGAGTGGACACAGGCAGCGAGCGAGTGGCTTTCAGAGTCCAGACTGGACCAAAACCTGGAGACCTGTGTGAGTCTAAGGCTGCAAGTTTAAAGTGGATATAAGCAAAGGTTGTCATGTGATAACTGACTGCAGCCAACCAATCGCTTGCACCTCCAGGCTGCTAACACAAGAGACACTGAGCGGACGCGCGCAGAGGAGGCCTCCTGCCAGCAGCAGGTGGAGGTGAAGGTGGAGTTCAACTGGACGTTCAACTCTCGTCTCTTTGAAGTCTCTGCTGCGCCGCACTCTGAGGATTAAGGAAGAAATGGTTTAGCGCACGCTGCTGTTTCTACGGGCAACAATGTTGGCCCCCACCCCAAGTCAGCGTGACGGGGATGAATTTAATTACCCACTCGGGCTGCCCCGACAGACCCCACCTCCGGCCCCACGAGCCACGAGGTCAGCCCGCCTTCACACAGCTTTTAATCGATGCCGTCGCTCCAAAAAAGCTTGGTCGTCTTAAACAAGAGGCCGGGCGAATTCAAGGATTCAAAGCCCTCACAGCTCTGCGTGGTGAAAGTTTTTCAAAATAAAAGCTAAATTTAGATGATTTTGAAGAGCTGCCACTGTTCTCGCCGCAAATGATCCCCCTCTGTGTTTGTGATGGTGGCGAGCGGCTGCTCCGCTCAAACAAAAACCTCACTGATGGTTTCATGCTCGCTGCCAAGAATCAGAGCCTTTCCCCTCAAAATAAAACCGCGACCGCAGCCGCCTCCAGACTCAAGGAGGCTCAGTGTGAAGCTGCACAGCTGATCAGCGAGCGCACAGTGGAAACATACACAGGCGAGGCGATGTGGACGGAGGTGTGGAGAATGGGCGCTCTCTCTGGGCTCACAGAGGCTTCAGTCTGAGAGAGGAAATGATTGTAATTAAGCTTCAGGGATGGAGATCTTTCAGAGCACTCGGCTCGGGCCGTTTGTGCACGATGACGGATCACAGCTGAGAGCTTACCGCCACAAAAACACGAGACTGAGGCAAAACCTGCCAAAACAACTGTTTCTACTGATGTCTGCCTCAAAAAATCCACTTCAAGTCCCGAAAACAAAAGAAAGAAGGGAGGAAAGAATTCATCCAGTCACAACTTTAACCAGGAAATCAGAGTCAAGGAAATTAAGATTTTAAAGCTGACCTTTTCTCCTAAATGCACCTGTTGTTCAAACTGTGTTTCAGCCACCGAACGTAAAAACTGAACTCTGAAATTCACCAGAATTTAACCTGACCTGAGAAATGTTTGGCTGGAAACGGCTGTTTTCACTCAGGCTCTGAGGCCTCTGGAAATCAATCCGCTGCTGGAGGAATCTGAAAGTGGGCCTGGCGGATAAATCTGAACTCAGGAGCTCCAACAAACTTAGAACAAGCTCGGTGCCAAATATTCAAACCGGCTGCCAAACATCTCCTCTGCGTGCCTCTGCCACCGCTCGCTGCTGCTCTCTAGAATATTCCAGCCAGCCAAATTATTTTCCCGTAGAATCAGTCGGAAATCGGGAACGTGCTGAGCAATCGCTCCGGAGATAATTGTGTTTTTTTCTGTGCCAGCTTCACCCCAAAAGCACGCCGAGCTGCTCTGCTCACGCCAACGTCTCCGAGTTTCCTTTCACTTGTGCTTTGGTGACGAAAAGACGAGTGTCTGCAGGAGATAACACGTTGATCTGCTTTAAAACTGAGAGCAGGGTGTGCTTTCATCCCCAGACAAACAGAGCAAATTCTATCAGCTCACAACTAAACAATCTCATATTTAAACCTCTCAGGAATGCAAACAGAGCAGATGTCATCCCGCAAACTGTGCACAAAGCACAAAATGTAATATCTGTGCATTCAAGGCTGGAAAACTCTGATATTTGTTAGGTCGTGTCACCAAGTGGAAGGGAAATGGACTCCCAACGTGTGGTTAACGTTGTGAAAGGGACTTACTTTAGCTTTAGCCCTAAACTAAGACGAGACTGAAATTTTAACAGCAGCACTCAGGAGACTAACCGTGGTCTCCTGAGTGAAAGTCCTCAGATATAACACCACCAATCGGCTCTCTGGGTTTACATCATGCATCCATAAACAGGAGTCTTGGGGGGAAAAAAAGTCGATACAGAACAGGACTATTAGGATATTATACAGGAACACCAAATATCTTTTTTTTTTTTAAATAAATTAAAATACTACCAACAAGAGGACTCATCTAATGTAAGTTTAGCTAAGCAAACGGAAATCAGCTAAACCTAAAAACAATAACATGACATGCTCAGCTCAACAAAGCTTACAGCTCAGTCACACGAGTAACGATGGGACGGAGACAGATCTGTGGTATCAGTTAATCAGTGTTTTCTGAGACACACACTACATGTAGTTGCCAACTTGACCCCATTAACTGGCTGACTGACTGCAGACTGACTGCAGACTGATTGCAGACTGATTTTCTTGTGGCAACATTTGCAGCCGGTTTTAGTGACAGTGTTGGTTTGCTTGACAAGCTTTTTGCAGCAAACTGATGTGAGACATGATTGTCTTCATATATCATTATCTACCATAAGAGACTGACAAAGTTTAACTTTGAGGACATTTGAAAAAAGGTGATAAATAAAAAGTAAATGTAATACTGTAATACTCTGTGTATTACAACATGTTAAAAGTAGTACTAATATCACAGTAATATCTAGTGTCATGAGTGAAATATTGTGATAATATGATTCTGTGGGGTGATTCTACCTTTAGCCATAAAGTAAAAGCTCACCTATGATTGTCGCTAATCAGCTGCAGCCTGCCTGCAAGTCGCTTAGAAACCCACCTACACCTTAAGTCCTGCTTCATATTGCACCTGAATTACTGGGTTTTCACGTGATGTTGGAATAATCGGAAACATAAATTTCCAACCGGGGAAATCCATATAAATCTGCTCAAAATGAAACAACAACTTAAAATAAAAGTGTTACTGCTGCAGAGAGATCCCAGAGCAGATACCACCCAACCGCCGCAAGGCGTGCCCTCTGAAACGTGTGCTGGGCCTGCACAGCTGGGGCACATTTAGCTGTGAGACTAGGCCGTTTCATCAAAGAACAGCTTCCAGAGATGCATTTATTAATCAGCTAAAGGCTTCCTTCAACAAACAAGTTCATCTTTGAAAGCTGTGAGAGTCAGACCAAAGCAGCAATCAGGTGGGCTAAGCCAAAAATAGCACAGCATTAACGCTCCGAGTGCAGACAGGAAATCCGCCGTCCCATGTGGATCCATGTGAAGGGACTCGAGGACAAGCTAGCTACCTGCAAAGTCTGTCATCTCTCCAAGTTTTTCCCACAATAAAACCATGTAAATTTCATTTCACAGAGATCATTTTTGACTTCCACTAAAGGAAGACCACTGCAGTGAAACTGCTAGGTGTCGGCAGCTAAATGCAGTTTAACTTACATGACAGACACGTTCTTTCTTCATTAACCAAACTGATGCTGCCACAGAAATACCAAACATGTCCACAGCAAACTCAGAGAAACCAGCATCCAGCACCTGAAGTGATCTGATGATCCGCCAGCAGGACCGCCATTTTCTCGCAGCATCTCTCTCTCACAAACACACACACACATCAGCAGCAGGAGAGGCGGGGCTTACCTGCATGCACGAAGTAGGCCAGGTAGAGATCCAGCTCCTTGACTGAAACTCCAATGTGATGCGGCTGCACGCACAGGCTGGGGTTCGAACACTGAGGAGACTTTACCAGCCTCTCCCCGTCAGTACTTTCGAGGGGAATCCCTTTGAATAAAATCACCATGACCAGGTCCAGCCGCCACACTTTGTCCGCCTGGCGCAGGCAGTCGATCCTCCTCATCTTGCCCTTCTGGTCGGGGTTGGACAGCACGCAGCACGGCGCCTTCTTCCCCGTCACCGTCAGCACAAAGTCCTCCCTGAACTCGGGCCGGATGTCCTTGCGCAACTTGGCCAGGAGGCGAGACGCCCACTTCTGTTTGACTTCGGGCTTCTCACCGAGCAGCTCGTCCTTCACGGCGCGCTCCTCCTCCTTGGACATGCGCTTCTCGTGCTTCTTGAAGTACTTCCTCTTACGGGCCTGAAGGTTGAACCATGTGTATGCGAAGGCCCGGACGTGGGGCAGCAGTGCTTCAATAAAAGGATGGAATTCATCCTGCGGGACAGAGATGGGAGACGCGGTGAGCGGCAGGTGACATGTCACGTGGCCACATACAGCATTTAAACATTATAAGAAACATGACGACTGAAGCACCGGCTAATGAGCATGTTACAGACGCAGCTTTAAGTGAAGCTTTTCGTGTTGTGTTTGGGTGACTGTTAAAACTCAGACCTCCAAAAACAAAGCGTCTGTCTCAGCTTCATAATACCGCGAAGGATAATAAGAAACATGCAGGTGTCTGCTGGTTAAAGCAGGAAACAGCCTTTTGCACTGACATCGACCCATCCATCCTCCCCGACCTCCACCCTGAGCCTCCCCTGTCTGTCTGTCGATTCCTTCCTTTTGCTGTCATCCCAAAATACTGCAGTAGAGAGCTTCACATAAACGTACTCGCATCGACCAGAGAGGTTAACAACGGGTTCCCTTCAGCTGGTGTGAATTTAGAAAAATGATTTTATAAAGCAGGACTGGAGATCAATTTAACAAAATTCTCTGAATGTCTCTTTGTGCATCGTTCTAGGACATTTTTCACAAAATTTGGCTTTAACGACATGCAGTCAAAAAGTCTGCAGGGAGGAATGTAGTGAGGCTGAGGAGCTGTTAAAAACCTCTTAATTATGCGTTTTAAAAATATAACTTTTCAGACGTGAATGTTTGTATTTGGAACATAATCAAGTATCTGCTCCACAGAAAAAAATAATAGAATATTTCTCCAAATTTTAATTTGCAAATCGGGAATGATGGACAGGAATAAGAAAAGAAACAAGAAAACAAGGAAATACTGTAAGAAGTAAAAGTGGAAGGAAAATAAGGAGGAAATTATGGAGGAGGGAATAAAAATTTGAAAAGGAAAATCAGAAGAAAAGTAGAAAATTTAAAAGCAGAGTTCAGACTGCAGCTTTAAATTCAAACCTGTCCTCGACTCTGTGACATGAAAAAAAACAAAACACACCGCCGAGCAAGCAGCGGGAAGCCCAGCGCAGGGCAGCGTTCCTGCACGCGCTCCGAGCGCACCGCGAGGGGGATTACAGCTGCATTAAAGGTGCATTATGTGGCTTTTGGCTGGTGAGCATAGTGCAGTTAACAAGGTGGGAATATGGTTAGACAGCACGTCGTGGATTAGACCCAATATGGGGCGGGTTACACCTGCTCTGTGCCGGCTTTCTGCGGGCCGACTAAGGAGCTGCAAACCACAGCGCGCAAACACGAGAGGAGGAGGAGGCTCAGCTTGGCCGCCTCAGGTTTCAGGGAGCAAAGCTGCACGAAGCACACGGATCCCACACCTCCTCCTCCCGTCTGCCAACACAATAAAGATGAGAAAGCCTCCAAAACTCAGAGACCTCTGACGCACAGCGGGCCCAGCTAGGGCTAACCCAGGCTGCAGATGTGGCCACATGTGGTCCGCACTTTGATCTCGGTGAGGTGAGCTGCTCCAGCTCTTGTTTTTTAACAGTTGAATTTTATGAAAGATCATTTTTAGACGTAGCTTTCTCAGATCTGTTCGTTTCGTGGTTTCAAATTTTACCTGCTAAAATCTCAGAGCTTCAGTAACGACAGTATCCTGCCTTACAGTCACAAATAGTCAAACATTTTCTCACTCAACCTCCTCAAACACAAGCAACCATCCACCAGGCCAGCAGCAGCCAGTTCAGGGCTGTGATTGGTTCATGAATCCTAGCAAAAACAACTTTTCCTTCTGGACTAAAACACATTCGAGTAAAAAGTGCAAATGTGCTGTGAACGGGGTGAGTGCGTGGCTTCGTCCTCAGACGAGCAGTGGATTCAAACCCAGCGTCTTTGTACTAACGGTGATAATGAGCCCAGGAATAAACAGACGCCGTTTTTAGATTTAAGAAAATCACCGTCAGGTAAAAGTAATCCGAGTACAGGACGTGTGGCTGCTTGACATGTGGCGATGAAACGACTACAGTCACATACTGAACCAAAAAACAAAAACACATGCACCAAACTTTCAGCTTTTAACAAGCACATTTCACCCTCGATGGCCGGGAACCAATCAGGAGTCAACAGGAAGTTAAGGCCGTGACATTTAGATATTATCCCAGAAAACAGGTTTTACTGCAGTTTCTAATTTATTCGTTTTTACTGTTTTTTATTAGCATCGAGCTGATTTAAGAGCAGCGTGTGATTAAACTCCACAGGCTGAAAGACTTACTTTATTTACAACACATCAGCTGATTTTTATTATTGTCTGCTATTTACAGTATAAAGGTGTGTGCGGGGCTGGTCAGAGGCAGGGTGGCAGGTTCAGATGTGAGCTGATTAAACAGGTGAAATCAAAGTGTCCAAGAGCACGGATGAAAAACTAACTACTGCTGTGCTGCTTCTCGGCGTTTGGACTCTCGTCTGTGGTGCCGCTCAGAGAAAACCTGTGATTTCACTTTGTTTCCCTCTAAACACAGACGGCTATGAAGGAAAACAGCAGCAACAGCATGGAAGGAGGAAAACATCGTCCCGGGGAAGCAGACGGACAGAAAACGTCTTCATGGAACATTTTTGATTCGGACCAAACCCCTCGGAGGCCCAGAGCACCTCCTCCTCCTCAGCCACGTACTGAAAAAGAAAAAAGCTCTATTCATAGATCAAAGAGGCTCGCACAGATCTCGATACGTGTGAATGCCTCCGACCGGGTGGCATGTGGAGGCCGGCTCACAGCTGTGCGCGAGCCCCACAAACCTGCTTTCTTTCTTCAGAGGCGAGCTGCTTCACAGGAGCTCGAGCTGCGGAGTCCCTGAAAGCTGCAGCGCATTATTATCATCATTGTCCTGAACCGAGTCTGATCCAAGAGTCCACCTGTAGTAGCTCTTTGACTCTCTCCTGCCTCAGTGACAAGCTCCTGCAGCACTGCATGTTTACAAGCAGCCGTCACAGCTGATTTCAGAGCGCGCACACATGTCCGAATGAACCAGGATGTCCTGGGGTCTGACCCGATTCTCCTCGAGACCCAGAGACTGTGTGTTTCAGTGCAGCATGCAGGAAACTGTTAATTACATTCATTTTAAAACTGAAAGTTTCCAATATATCTGCACTCATTCAGAGCAGAGTGCTTAGAAAGGAAAAAGTGGGAAGAGTGGAATTGTGACACCCCCCTCCACGCATCATCTCAGTTTAAATCACAATAAATACAACGACTCTTTTATCCTACAGGAAACCATCACACTGAACCAACGTCGGCTTCTTGTCTGCAGCTCGAAACTCATTGGTTCCCTCTGCAAACACAAACACGTTTTGTGGGATTTTTTCCAATAAGCAGGATTGAAATCTGGATTTTTGGGCCCTAGTTTCAGCGGGGGATTAATATGTTTGTAGGATCGGTGCACACTGGGTGCTCAACATTAACACTCAAACTGTTTGGTTTCTTAAAAGAAGAGTTGGGGTTGGGCTGCAGGTTCGGGGTTAAATGTATAGAAACCAAAGTTTTCCAGCTGGGAGTCAGGGCTGTGTTAAACCTGGAGCTCGGAGCGCTGCCTCCAAAGAGGAAACTGTATCTCCAGGCTGTGCATCAGAGCACCAGCTGCACGCCTTTTTTTCATACAACACTGCTCGCCCTCCCTTGTCAGAGGCTGAATACAGCACATTGTTTCTGGTTGGAGACGATCCAGGCGAGCGGCTTCGTCTCCAAAGCGCCTCCAGCAGCTCCGCGGCCGACCTGCAGCCGCTCTCCGAGCCCAGCTTTCACCGCAGGACGGCCTTTTGTCTGCGAGCGTCCTCGGGCGCTTATTAGGACGCAGAGCGGCTGCTGGACGGGCGATGTGTTCTCTCTCTCTCACACACACACACACACACACATTCCACAGTGGATCTGCAGCTCGCTGGCTCTGGATGTTCGCCGGAGCCACATACCAACATTCCTCACAGCCCAGTGCAACGTTTCAGCTTCCTGAGCCGCTCACACCGCCTCCACCACCGCTTCCTCCACTGCCTCTTCACACTCCGCCCGCTGCAAACAAAATCCCACTTAACAAGTCACTCACTCTCAGATTGAGCCTGAAAACAGGCCGGCATAATCCCTCCTGTTCTCAGGAATGTTTGCAGTCCTCAGACTGAATAATCCTGCGGCACTCCTCGCAGAACTCCTCCCGCTGTGTTTCTGGGGTTTTTAGAGGTTTACTTCAGTCTCTCTGCTGCAAATATTTTAAGCCACAAAACAAAGAAAATTCAGACGTTCAGCGTGTCGGGAAAATCACCGGCAGGCTGAAGCCAGGCATCGGCGCTCCCCACAGCCTCACGTCCATGTTTGGATGGATTTGAATGAGTGAAACTAGTGCTGAGAGTTAAATCTGTGCACTTTGTTAGTGAGCGTGTTATAAATCAGACTCATTAAAAATCAAACGACACGCTGATCGATTTGTTTGAGCTGCAGGAAATTTTTCAGCTTCCTTGAAACATGAAATTCCCGGGTTGGAGGTAATCTGGGTGCCGTTCCCGCCTCCTGAAGCTTTCTCCTTGTAATTTGACTTTTTTGGTTTGAGTTGATTTGTGCTGAAGCGGCCAGCTGCGCTACAGCTCAGCGCTGAATGAAAGGCCGCCCAGTCGAAGTGGGCTTCTTTCTTCGTCTCTCTCTCGGCCTTTTTTCCCTGCAAGGGGAGAGCAAGCACGGGCCGAGGCTCGCGTCCCCCCCTGCACCTCGGTGACAGATGTAATGGGCACCGAGTAACAACAACCCTCTGAATCATAGTCATTTAGAGGCGCAATAACCCTAATCCCCCCCCACTGCCACACTGAGGGAATTGTCGGCCTGTCGTCTAAGGCCCGGCGGAGCTGCCGACGCTCCGCTGCGAGCGCCCGGGGACCAACAGGAAGGTTCTCACCAATCAGAGGGTTCGATCCCCCTCATACCAACTCAAAGACAGCACGTTCCTATTAAACCAGCCACACACATACACTCATACACATACACATTCCTGCTTTATGTTTTGGGGATCTGATGGTGTTGGATCCTCTTGACTCAGATTTGGGAAAGTCCAGCTGATCGGACCCTTTAACTCTGACTTTACTGATAAACACACAAAAATATTTAGATTTTTATATTTTAAAAACGATCAAACAAATCTGCTGCTTTTTTGTTTTTATTCTTTTTAAATAATCGATGTGGAACTACGCACAGATCTGAGCTGTTTTTCTTTAAAAGAAGTTTAAACGTTCGTCCGATCCACCGCGGGGAAATATACAAATTTAATCACACCGTAAATGATCAAAACATTTCGTGTGAAGCGCCCTCCCGTGGCCGGTGGGCAAAAACAAGCAATTTACATCACCTCCGAACAAATTTATCCCAAAGAATTATGAAATTTCAGATTCAGACTGAACACAGACAAAACTTTTAATAATAATTAATTTTCACATTTAAATTTTGATTTTCCCCTGTTTCTCTCTCTCTCCCTCTCACACACACAGACACACACAGTTGTCAGAATATTTCCCTGAAACAAAAATAAAAAGCTGAATACTGAGATGAATCACACACACGTTCACACTGAAACATTTTCCTCTGAGCAGGATTTGTAAAAACTGACAGTCTGCTGTTTATTGGTTTTACTGCCCGGTAATCAGATTACATGTAAAGCTGCTGCAGATTCACCCAAAAATAAAATCAGAGTCCGAGAAGGCGACAGGGCAAACACGAGCACGCCTCACGTTCATTCACAGCCACGATCAATAAATCCTCTGATGAAACTGATCATCTAGAACTAAACCTGCGTTTTCTCTGCGCCTCATACACCAGAGGTACTGTTTGGAGCCTGAAACACGTCAAGATAATTCTACTCTCACCTCTGACCCTGAACGCAACCCCGCAAGAGCGAGCGGCTGGCGGCATACAGCCCCGCACAGCCCCGCGCAGATCGGCGGCGGGACTCAGCGCGCTCAGCCCGGGAACGGAGCCGCGGGCAGAGCCGCCGGAGCTCCAAGCGGCGTGTGCCGCGCGCACAGCCGCGCGCACGGCCACGGACAAAGTGCGTGAAAAGTGCAGAAAGTGTGACTGACCTGCGTGAGGCACAGCGGAGAGTACATGTCCGTCCTCCGTCCGCCGCCCGCGAGCTGCGCTGCGTTTATGAGAGCGGCTGCGCGTGCGCGGGGCTCTTACTGGAACTCCGGCCCCGCGTGTGTGCGTGCGTGCGTGCGCGAGGAGCAGCCGCCGAACTTTGACCCCGCCGTCTCCGCTCCGCAGCCCGACACCATCCCCGGTAACGGCGCCGAGAGCGCGCTCACAGCTCCGCGCGGCCGCGGCGCGAGGCGGCCCCCGGCAGCATGTCCGTCCGCCCTGCGGTGGGCTGTGGCCGGCTTGCGGCGCTGAGGCTGCTCGGTGCGGCGGGCACGCGGAGAGAGCGCGCCCGCTCCGGCCTGAGCTCCGGGACCTCCGGACTGCAGCGTCCGCGCGCTCACACCCGCTCCTCGAGCCTCCGCTGCGTGCGTGCGTGCGTGCGTGCGCGCGCGGATGAGCTGCTGGATGCTCCTCGCGTGAACCCGACCACGGACTCACTGATCGGTATCACCGGGACGGGCTGAAAACTTGGAGGCTCACGTGACCGGCGAAAACAGCGCGGGCGGGGGAGCGGGGGCAGTTTGGGTCGGAACTCCGAGCTGCAGCTGCGCAGTTCTGCTCCCTGATTCTGCCCCGGGGTCTTCCCGCACAGGGGGCAGGGGCACGGCACTCAGGGGCCCCGGGCAAAACACACACAACACACACGAATAATGAACACAAAGACACAAAAGTACACAGAAATACACACGAAGACACACAAAGAAATACACAGAAATAATAAAAATAAACACAAATAATACACAAACACACAAATAAATATGAACACACACAAATAATAAACACAAAGACACAAGCACACAGAAATAATACAAATAAACACAAATGCACATAAATGAATACAAATACACACAACTAAATACAAATAATATGCAAACACAAAAATAAATAGAAATGATACAAACACACAAATACACACAAACAGTATGCACAATTACACAGAAATAATACAAATAAACACAAATAAATACAAGTAAATGCAAATAGACACAAATAAATACAAATAAAAACAATAAAAATAAAAACAAACCGCTGAAATTTTTTCTTCTCCTCCAGACAGCAGGAGCCTCCAAAGCCCTCCTCAAATTATTATTATTATTATTATTATTATTATTATTATGAGGAGAAATGAGCTCAGCTCTACTTTACATAACACACACACACGCACACACTTATATAATGTGTGTGTGATCAGATATGTTGCCAATCAGCTGTTCTTTATGTAAAGCTCTGTGACCTCCGACCTGTTTCCTGAGTTGAGTGTAAACAGCTGTTGACCTTCATCTTTTTTTTTAATTCCGTGTTTGACTTGTTTTTAGATATTTTTGTGTTTTGCTCCCACAGATGTTCAGTTATTGTTTCCCGCAGTAGAAATGAGGAAAACAGACAAATGGACGAGTATGGACCCGCCCTCTTCACCACAGGTGTCTCATTGTTCACATGTGTGCATCTTCATTTTCAGCATCACGCTGCTCTGAGATCCATCACACACCCGGCACCACCACCACTTCCACCATCCTCTGCTTCACACTGACTCTGGATCAGCCGCCATCAGAAACAACTGATTCCTGAAAGCTCGTCCGTTTGCGGCTCCGTGCCTCTGTGCGCTGCAGGCTCTACCTGTTCCACCTGAACAGGAAGAAGGATGATGACACACAGAACCGCTTTGAAAGGTTAAAGGTCAGATCCTGCCGTTTACTGTGAGGAGCGTCTGGGGTGATCTGATAAAATATCTGAAAAGCTGTTTGTGATGCCAAAGCCTCACACCTGCAGGAAGTTCACAGGTCTGAAGGAAGGCGGCCGGAGTCACCCGAGGCACTCAGAGAGTCTGTAAACGGCTTTACGGGGATATTAGTCTGTGGAGATCCTGCAGGAGCATCTACAAGATTCAATAAAGCCTACATAAAGCTGCAGACGCTCCGACGGTCCCGACAGTACCATCAAACCGACGCTGAATCACCACGGAGACGCACAGACCCACCATAAACCCATACAGCAGTCCAATCAGCACCAGCCTCCACCTGTCCACACACAGCCCCTCAGGTGACCAACCTGCAGGAACATCAGTGGGTGGAGCCACAACAGGACCTTCTGTTTCACCAGAGTTAAACACAACAACACAAGAACGAACCAATCAGATCACACCTCATAATCATCGTCATCGCCATCAACATCAGCAGCAGCAGAAATTCACTCAGGTTATCTTCTTTGAACTCAGACACACACGCACGGTTCTTTTATCATCCAATCAGAGGACGCTGCGTCACGACAAGTCTGTCTCAGATGAAACATCACAGCTGTAATCAATCAATAATCAATCATTCTGATCTGATTGTCAGAGTCCACGAAGGATAAAAGCAGGTTTGGATTACTCAGATTACAGATTACACGCCGTATGCACCATTACAAAGGTGAGTCAGGTATGACCACAAAGACTATTATAAATCAATAATTAGGACAGAAAGGGGTTGGTCTGGCTAACTGAGACACTTCAGCGGCTCCTTCGTCAGGCTGTTTTTATTTGTTTGTTTGTTTGTTGTGAGGAACTCTCGTGAAGTCAGGATCACTGTATATATGGAAGTGTTTTGTGATCCCAAGATGTTTCCAGCTCAGTGCTGGTGGCTGGTGAAGCAGGTGGGAGATGTGCTGACGTCACTTCCTTCTGCAGGCTCATGTAATTGATGGTCTCAGAGGATGTGGAGGAAGCCGTGACGTCTGCCTAGTGAAGCAGCTGCGTGCTCCCGCGGGCTGGACCCGAGCGGCGAGTCGTCCGAGGTTAATGAACAGAAGCTTTTATGTTAATAGAAGGAGCGGCGCCGTGATTTAACAAGACAATCTGCACATTTACTTTGGCTCAAACACGTCTGAGGCTGCTCGTTATCGGGCGGCCAAACAGCGGCTCTGAATGAAGGTCAGCACACAGAGACGGTAATTAGATTAGAGCAATTAAACCAGCTTTTTGATATGACCAATAATCTTAATGTGGAATTCACAGCAGGACATCCTGCTCCCGTTTCATCGTTTCCAGCAGATGCGCCATGATCTGAGCTCCAGCTTCAGGTTTAACAAGCGTTCACGTTCCCTTGCTCCGAGCCTCACCTTATGTCAACAAGAACTCATCCGTCAGGCCTCACATCCTGAACTACAGGCAGATGATCAGATGGACCAATCACAGATGCTCAAAACTTTTATTTGTTCTGGACAATATATAAAGCCTGAGTTCGCCTCACGGTTCCTGCTCTCTCAGTCGGACTCATTAAGCATCCTGAGAAGCATCAGTCCTGTTCCACCAGCCAGCACCTCGGAGCCAAAGAATCACATGTAGAATCACTTCTGATAGCGACCATGAAGGCGACCGCAGCGAAGAGCAAATCCACTTTCACCGAAGGAGAGAAAAGCATCACCATGAACCAATCAAAGACTCAAATGTTCCACTTTCTCAGTCCTTTCCTGCACAGAGCACTGATTCTGCAGCACAAAGCTGCCACCATGGAGCGCACACAGCATTCATAAAGAGCACGTCACTCACCTGAAAACACCTGGGCAAATCAGGTATGCCCTTACCTGAAGGGACAACAGGTGACTGAACTATGGGAGGAAGACGGTGCTTTCTGCCTTTCTAATTTTTCATAGCTTTTTAATTATTATTTAAAAGAGAGGACAAGTTTTTTTAAACCTTCCAAAGAGCACCTCAGACAGCACAGGTGTAATCACCTGTCAGACAATCAGAAGCAGAAGAGGGCGGAGCTTTAAGTGACCACATGTGATGAAGTGATGATCGGATGTTTAAGGTGCAAGTGAACGTCTGCTGAGTGTCACAGGGCTCATATTTCTCTGCCTCATCAGGCAGCATTGGCAGAAAAGCAGCCTGAGGCGCCATCTAGAGGAGACTCACCGACACTACAGCAGCCTGTAGCCTGTGTGTGTGTCTGTGTGTGTTTGTTTGTGTGTGTATGAATTCTTACTATCTTGGTGGGGACCAAAATCTGAAATTGAAAGGCATTTTTCACACTCAAAATGTAGTTTTAGTGTCAGGGTTACAATTGGGTTATGGTTAGGTTTAGGGTAAGGGTTAGGGTTAGGCATTCATTTTTGATGGTTAGGGTAAGCGGCTAGGGAAAACATTATGTCAATGGGATGTCCCCACAAGGATAGCAAACCAGACATGTATGTGTGTGAGTGTGTGTGTGTTTTTGTGTGTGTGTATATGAATATTTGTGTGTGTGTGTGTGTGTGTGTGTGTTCATTTTACAGGATCTAAGGGAGAAACTTTGATAAATTCTCTGATTCAACAAAAGCTGAAGATCTGATTTTGATTAGTTCATTTTAGTAAATAAAAAGTAAAAACATTGGAGACAAAAACAAAAGAGTAAAACTTCAAAGCCTGAAATAAATTTCCACAACACCAGTAGTAAAAAGATTCATTTGAAGTCTTTTGGGAGGGTGCATGAAGCCGTCTGTGTTTGCAATCTGACCCCACCTGCTTCTGCCAATCAGTGGTGATTTCCTGCAGTGACATTTTTTTGGACGCCACTGAGCTGCCATTTCAGTAAAAAGTTGTGGAACTACTTCTGTCCTAACAGAACAACAGAAGGAAGCGAGCTGGAACGTTCCGCCAGCGCCTTCCACAATTTCGGACGGCATTTTCAAGAAAACGTTTGAAATGATAGAAATGTCCCTCAGGGAACGTTCCTGGAAGGTTAAAGGTCAAACGACCACAGAACGATAGGCCTGCAGCGCTCGGAGAATTTGATGTCACGGGGATGTTTGTGACGACAGGACGCTCCCCTGAATGTCAGCGCAGCGTTGTGAAGTGCTGGGTGGTTGTCGTGGTAACAGATTATAACCCGTGTAACCAGGGCCGAGACTCCAATTACATTTCCACCCCTCAGAGAGCGGCCAATCAGCCGATCGGCTCCTTCATCTTTAACGGAGCGCTGTTTAAATAAAGATTCAGTTTTTTGTCTGTTTGTTTCTGCAGTGCAACGCAAGACTGGAACGGGTCAGAAGATGATGGGGGGGACGCCACCAACCAGCCAATCAGACGTGAGCAGAAATCCAAAAACTCGACATGGACGTCACCATGGAGACGGGCTGATGTCGGCGGCAGTTTGGGCTAAAAAATACAAAGTGTGTGTTTCTCTGTGTCTGTGAGTGAGTGTTTGTGTGCATGTGTGTGTCTGTGAGTGAGTATGTGTGCATGTGTGTGCCTGTGTGTGTGATGGGTGGACGGGGGCTCCTCCACCTGCTCCCACTGAGCTGCTGCCAGGCTGGAGACCAGCCAACAGAACCAGGCCTGAAACCAAGCCGCAGCCAAGCTCGCACAACCAGAGAGAGAGGGAGGAAAACAAGGGAGGAGGGGGAGAAGGACAGAAGGGGAGAGGAAGCACGGAGCGATGGGGAGGAAGAATAAGGTCAGAAAAGCAAGAAGAGGAGGAGGAGGGATGCTTCTCATT